GACTTATCTTCTATTGCTCCAGGACTGGAATTAAACCTACAAGGAAGCAGGTTCTGGCTAGACATGGAACTTCCTGACTGTACAAGCTGCTAGCCAGCGGAACAAGCTGCCACATCATAACTTGAGTTGTCCTTTGCTGGAGGCCTTCAGACAGAAACTGGATGGTCATCTGTGAGGGACAGTCTAGTGGATCCTACACTGAGCAGGAGGCTAGATTAGGTGACCTCTTTGGTCCCTTCCAACTCCATGATACTATGGTTCCTCAAACATTTGTAATGTGAGAAGACAATTAGGCAAACACAACCTTCTAGATCTGCCTAGACATGTGGCACTTCAGGGGCCTCAGTTGCAGAAGTAAGAATACTACTGCCCACGCCATCCCCCCAAAGCAAAGGAAAGTGCTTGTGATGAAAAACAGTGGAGAAAGGAAGGAATTTTGCCCAGTTCTTGAGTCTCAAACTGGCCAACTAGTGTAAGACAAAGGCAGGGTTTCTTTCCCCTGAAGGAGAGCAGGGGTTGAAACAGACTCAGGGCTGTGTTGAAGTCGAAACTGAGCGGCTGTTGTCTTCAACTTCTAGCTGATAGTTTGACATTCCAGGAATTTATTTTCTATACTATCTGCATCCTGTTAATGTCTTAATATTCCTTAAGAAAGGAATTTGGATGATACAAAAACAAATGCATCCAGCTGCTAATGCAACTAATAAGAAAGGCAGTCCATCCATGTCCATCTGCAAACATTCCTCAAACAAAAGCCAGACTGTTCTTTCCAGATTGGCAGGATGAGTCTGTATGTAAGTGGAAATTTCCATGGCAAAATTCCTGGTGGATCAAGTATGGCCATTTTTATGCTGTTATAAATGCACTCTAAGTCTCGTAGATGGAGGATGGAGGTGAAAAAGAGACCATGAGAGGATGGAGGAGAACTTACAGAAGGAGGCAAGAACATAAACAGAAGTTCTCAGGATGACTGGCAAACACACAGCCACAATGCCTTGTGGCCAAAAAAGTGTGATTTTAGGCTGTATTGATAGAACTGGTAGCAGATCCTGAATTGATCCCATCTTCTGCCACCCATTAGGCATGATCCAGTCCCATGATTTCAGCAGGTCTGCTCTACATAGAACAAAATCTGATCTACCCATTATTTTCACGTCACAAGGGCTAATATTTCCACTTTACTCTGCCCCTGACCTGGAATCCTATGTCCAGTTCATGACACTGTGCTGCAAAGAGACAGAAGTTGAAGAGAAAGCAACAAGGGCATGACAAGGTCCCAATCAGGGAATGGGGACAAGAACAGGCACTGTGAAGGGGATGAAAATGTTGAAACTGAGTGTTATAGTAAAGGAACAGCAATAGTGTTATAGCTACACCGGAACAGAGCTGGATCAAATGAGGTACAGTTATGAAAGGAGAGTTTTCAATCCTCATGAGACACCCCTGTGTTGGACCAGCAGTGGGACAATTAGATCTGGAGGCCTTGGGGTGGTGGATTGCACTAGGTGGCTTCCAATGCCCTGATTCCAGCAGTGCTCTTGACCCACTGCTGCCCCACAGACCCTACTTTCCAGGGCCTCCAGGGACATTAATTGGCATGCCACCATCACTCATGGAGCTCTGTAGGGGTATTGCCTTCTGCAAATGATTTCCATAGATCTGCTGCTGGGGTGACAAAAAGATACAGGCCTTGACTTGGTGGGGGAACTGCAGCCTGGCTCCCATCCTGCCAGGAAGGAGGCAAAGCCTGTCTGTTGCACCCCTGCCCCTAGTTCTTTCTGAATCAATTATTTCATGGCCATTTTGCCTTGTGGCCTTTATTTTGCCCTTGAGGCACAAAAATGCAGAAGGATCCAGCCCAGTCCCCCAAAGTATCACCAGGCAGGGCCAAGAAAAATATCTGCCCAGAGAGATGATCCCAGGGTCAGGGAGACTGGACAATAGGCAGCAGTCTGACCACTTGCGTAAGTTCTCACATAACGGGGCTAATTTGATTTACCTTAGGGTGCTGTGTGATCCCATCTTTTGTGGTTGATTCAACAGATATGGTTAAAGCAGATCATGATATTGGGTGATTTGTAACTCCTCCATGTAGAGACTCCTACATCTCTGTCATCGTTCTTTGCTGCTGACTACCAGGGAGCACAAAACGGTGATAACAGGTTTGGGAAGAGAGAGATTCAGACTTCCCACAAAAGCTGCATCTCAGGTGTGCTCACTGCTTGATGCAACTGTAAAATTAAGCTTTGAGAGAAGCAGAAACCCACACACCACTTTGGAGGGTCTTGTCTATTATGCTGGTAGATAAGGACAGGTTTCCAGGAAAACTCTTCTTGATCAGGACATAGGCAGCAAAGCCTAGTAAGCAGAACCCATCAGCTCCTGACATCTGGCAGCATTGGGTGAAGGCAGAGTGGGGTTGAAGGATGACTTTTCATCATTCATGTTAATGTACTGGAATTCCAGCCCTCCAAACATCTGAACCTTCATTAAAGAAAACATTTTGGGCAAAAAGAATGAACTTACAATTTCCCTGTTGAATTTTCACTTTCAGAGACTAACTTTGCTCTCCAACAAATGATGGGGATTAATGAGTTGGGAAAGCACTAACTCTGAAAACACAAACATAGCTAAAGAAATACATGATGCAGCTATACAGAAACTGGAGTACAAACTTCCTGGAAAATAAAGGATAAAGGATTGATTGATTGGTTGATTGGTTGAGTGCCATCAAGTCATTTTCAACTCCTAGTGACCACAGATACATTTTTTACAAGGCAATCTATCCTTAACCTGTTCTTTCATGTCTCCCAATGGTGCACTCATTGCCTCTGTAACTGAGTCCATCCACCTTGCTGCTGATCGTCCTCTTCTTCTCTTTCTTTCCACTTTTCCCAGCATTAGAGCCTCCTCCAGATTGCTGAGTTTTTGCATAACGAGTCTGAAGTAGGATAATTTGAGCTTGGTCATTTGTGCCTTGAGTGACAGCTCTGGTTTGATTTGTTCAATGATCCATTGGTTTTTTTCTTGGCTGTCCATGGTATTCTCAGGACTCTTCTCCAACACCAACGTTCAAAAGCA